AAGGAATTATTGGAGTTTTTAGGTATGATTAGAATTGCAGTTAAATTAAAAGTGTATCTTAGAAATATATAGATATGTATACTTGAATTAGATGTCTCAGATTTGCTTTTAAATTATTGAAGATAAATATGAAAATAATGAAACAAGATTGACTGTTTTGGTAATTGTTGAAACTGGATGGTGGGTAGATGGAGGTTCATTAAGCCATTTTCTCTGCATTTACATATGCTTGAAATTATCCATAATAGAAAATTTAATAATGTAGTAGATAAAGATTAGCCATCTGTAAAGACTCAATATTTGGGTGGGCTCCGAGGGATTAAGGGAAGTGTGACATTGTGTATGTGGACAAGTTGCCACAATTTTGCAGTCTCTTGCAGTAGTGGCAGCAGTGGTGGATGGGTCTGGTCTGCTGACCTTGACAGATGAGGAGAATTAAATGGCTGAGAGGTCCCAAGTTCAATTCCGGTCAAGGGCATGTACCTTGATTGCAGGCACATCCCCAGGAGGGGGTGTGCAGGAGGCAGCTGATGGATGTTTCTCTCCCATCAATGTTTCTGTCTCTCTCCCTCTCTCTTCCTCTCTGTAAAAAAAATCAATAAAATATATTTAAAAAGAAAAAAAATATTTGGGTGGGCTGAGAAGTTAGGAAGAAGCACTTGAGGTTAAGATAAATGGTATGTAATTTCAGAGGATTATGATTCTAAAAACATCAAAATATAACATGATAGAGAATGGTACTGTATATAGTTAATATATAGCCTAATCTTTTCTAAAAATATATTTTTATTGATCTCAGAGAGGATTGGAGAGGGAGAGAAAAATAGAACATCAGTGATGAGAGACAATCATTGATCTGCAGCCTTTTGCACACCCAACACTTGGGATCAAGCCTGCAACCTAGGCATCTACCCTGACTAGTAATTGAACCATGATCTCCTGGTACATGTGTCGATGCTCAACTACTGAGCCACTGCTGGGCTGCAGCCTAATCCTAATGACTAACTGCAACTAAACTAAGTCCTCAGAAGGGTTAGGTTAAGCTTCAGAATTGTTGCCCTGGCTAAATAACCCTGTTGATTAGAGCAGTGGTTGGCAAACCACGGTTCGCGAGCCAAATGTGGCTCTTTGGCCCCTTGAGTGTGGCTCTTCCACAAAATACCACAGCCTGGGCAAGTCTATTTTGAAGAAGTGATGATAGAAGAAGTTTAAAAATTTCGGCTCTCAAAAGAAATTTCAATCGTCGTACTGTTGATATTTGGCTCTGTTGACTGATGCGTTTGCCGACCACTGGGTTAGAGCATCATCTGATACACCAAGATTGTGTGTTGGATTCCAGTTAGGGCATATGCATGTAACACCCAATAAATGCATAAATAAGTGGAACAACAAATCAATGTTTTTCTTTCTCTCAAGTCCATCAATAAAGTTGGTTTGGCTCAGTGGATAGAGTGTCAACCTGCAGACTGAAGGGTCCTGGGTTCAATTCCAGTCAAGAGCATATGCTTGAGTTGCAGGCTCCATCCCCAGTAGGGGGTGTGCATGGGGCAGCCAACCAAGATCCTCAACATTGATGCTTATCTTTCTCTCCCCCCTCTGATATCAATAAAAATATATATTTTTAAAAATTTTTAAATTGTTTATCCAAGTGAATGCTTCTATCTCCCAGATCCAAGAAAAGGACATTGTTGGGGAGGGGGAGTTTCCAGGATTTTCTACATCCAAAATCAATATTTCTGTAATAATTGTGATCCACTTGTACTAACATCACTTGAGTTTTTGCTAAAAATGCAGAATTCTGGCTTTACTTCAGTCTCACTGAATGAGAATTCTAGGGGAAAGGGCCCAGGTTTCTATACTTCAGTAATCCTCCAGATGAATCTTGGCACATGTAAAGTTTGAAAACTGGAACTACATAAAGATGACAATAGCTGCCTCTTAATGAACTCTTTTTTCATATGCTAGGTACCATGCCGACCCTTTATAGCTGTAGCACCTTTAGGAGGTAGATGATGAGGTGATCTCACTTTAGAAAAATTCAGTTACTTGCTGAAAGTCAGTCAGGCAAAGTGGGACTTCAAACCAAATTCTGATCCTAAAGCCTATGCTCTTAGCCACTAGCCCAATGTCTCCCATTAGGCCGTCTCTTTTCTCTGCGCCTTTGCCCACCCAAAGGCTTCTGTGAGAATTGGCTTCTCACCTATCTTTTATGAGGTGGATGTGTCCTGCAGAAGATAGGAATATTTCAGTCACTAGCAGGAACAGTTCCTGTTGTAAATTAATATTTAGTGTCTGGTCCATGCATTAGCCTTCTTTTAAGTTGTGGACTGGTCCCAGAGTACTTGAAACTTAATACTTGGTATAAAGTAACTGGATTTTTTTCTGCAACTATTATATATTTTCCTGTGATTCTAAACCTTTTTTTTTACTCCAGTATTCCTCTAAGAGATTGAACACATTCCTGTAAGTGACAGGGATCTGCTTGACATTGCTAGTAGCCAGAACACAAGGTTAAGGGCCCCTGCAGTTCTGAAAGGCTTCTCCTAAGATACTCCTGGTCAGTGTCCCAGGGACCAGGAGAACCCGTGGGGCTAGAAGCAAAGTGTAGGTGTAGACCCCACAGGGATTATGCCCTGTGCTGCTTACCTCCTTTCATTAGTACCTACAAATAGGTGTGAACTGATCTTCAACCTCTCTTGTACAATTCTAAACCCAAAAGCATTATAAAACAAGATTTTTTTTCTTCAAGTTTGCAGCAATTTTGGGGGAAGGAGGGAGCAAACCTTGAACTTAGACTATTTATGCTCCTTACCATACTTGTTGATGCAGAAATATTAATACTTGATTACAGAGTGATACCCAGACTTCACTGGGGGTGTTATAAAATATGTGTGGCATGTGCCAGGTTGTCTTTCAAATTTTTCTAAAACACTTTTGTGAGTTTGTGAGGCCCCAAGAGTTTAGATGAGAAAGTTGAAATTGTGAGAGCTGATTTCTCAACACATTGCTCCCAAGTTATGTGACCAGATTTGAAAAAAGGCCATGCGTGTTCTTCCAGCTCTGCTACACTGCTGTTTAACAAGCTCATTGAGGTCATTTATCTTGTTGTTTGAAAAGCCGGTTAGCTTTGCAAATACTTGTATCCTATATAATAAAAGCCTAATATGCAAATCAACCTAACAGCGGAAGACTGGTTGCTATGACACTCAACTGACCACCAGGGGGCAGATGCTAACATACGAGCTGCCTCCTTGCGGTCAGTGCGCTCCCATAGGGGAGCACTGCTTAGCCAGAAGCTGGGCTCATGGCTGACAAGCGCAGCGGCAGTGGCGGGAGGTGGGGTAATAGACTCCAAGAGCCCCCGACTGTGACAGGGATGTCTGACTGTTGGGCCACTCTCCTCCCACCCGCAGTGCACAGTCTCGTGTACCAGGCCTATAAAAAGCCTCAAGAAATATGTTTTTAAAGTAATATATTTCATCTGTTGCCATTTGATCATTGTAATGCTTCAGACTTACCTTTTTTTTTTTATAGAAGTCCTATAAATATTTCATTTGGAATTTTACTGTTTCTGTGTCTTCTGGTGGAGTCAAGTAGGAAATTAAATAACTGAATGCCGAGGCATTAGACTATGTTTATTGCCCTTATCCTTGCCATTTAGAAAGCAATGTAGCAACACCAAAATAAGTAATTTTTCATGAATAAGGATTATGTTGATAAAAGTCTCAGAATTAAAAATAATAAGTCTTTGAATAATGAGCAAAAATATCTCTTTCCGGTTAAATTAATGTTATCACCATACTCCCTCCATTTTTGTTTTACTTAGATAAAAGAAAATTATTTTTTCCCAAGTGAAAATCACCTGAAATCCTCCACTTTAGGCTTTCTTATTTCTACAAAACATGAAACTTCCTTAAGCATGATCACGTTTTCTGTGCCTTTTCTTTCTCTGTGAGGTCATTTTTTCTCATGAGATTTTTCCTACTGAGTGTGAATTTTGCATGTTGTGTGCTTTTAAGGCTTGACTGTCCTTAGTGATACACAGGAGGTTGGTAAGCACCAGGGGAACTGAGTGTGTAGAACATGGCCTGGACTCACCTCCTCTGAAGACAGGTAGCTTAATTGGGACTTAAAGTTACTCTTCATAAAATAAGCCTGTGTTATTGTGGTGTAATAGAAATTATATTGCCTGGCTGATGTGTCCCATGAACCAGGAGGTCACAGTTTGATTCCTGATCAGTTCACATGCCCAAGTTGCAGGCTTGATCCCCATTAGGTGGCATACAGGGGGCAGTCAATCAATGATTTTCTCTTATCATTGATCTTTCTCTCTCTCCCTTCCTCTCTGAGATAAATAAAAAATATATATTTTTAAAAATGTATATATTTGTCCCAGTTCCTGGCACAGAGCTAGTAAAACCCTTGAAGTCTCCTGACTGATAGGATTGGGACTGATTGCCAGAGAAAGGCTAGAACTCTCAGCCCAGTTTCAGCCTCTGGGGAGGGGATAGGGATGGAGATTGCATTCAGGCAACAATGGTGACATGGTGATGATCTAATCAGACATATCTCTAATGAGGCTTTGATGAAACTCTGAAAACAGGTTCTAGTAGGGTGGGTTGTGTGTTTGGAGAGGGTGTGGACACTGTGCTCTGCCCCAGCCTCATAGTTTGCTCTGTCGTCTCTTCTTTTTAGCTGTTCCTGAGTTGATTCCTTTATAAATAAACCAGTAAATGCACGTGAAGTGCTTTCTTGAGTTCTGTGAATTGTAGCAAATTATTGAACCTAAGGGGAGGTCATGGGAAACCTCCAAATTATAGCTGGTTGGCAGAAGAAGTACAAGTAGCCATGGGTCTTGCATCTGAAGTGCGGGCAGTTTTGTGAGACTGAGCCCTCATGACCCATAGGGTCACTAACTCCAGAGAGTTTGTGTCAGAATTGCATTGCAGGACCCCTCGTGTGTTCCCTGTGTGACTGGGTGCATCCACCTTCTCTTCCAGTACCTGACCAAGCAGGTGGAGCTCCTGCGGCAGACGAATGAGCAGCATGCGAAAGTTTATGAGCAGCTAGATGTCACAGCAAGGGAGCTGGAAGAGACAAATCAAAAGCTTGTTGCTGACAGCAAGGCCTCACAACAGAAAATTCTGAGGTAAACTTTCTAAAATTCATTGAGGAAGCCCAGGGCGAGGGAGTCATCCTATCTAATAAGAGTAATATTCAAATTGACCATAACTCTGCTATATCCACAAGCCATGCCTACCAGCCAATCAGGAGCGAGTATACAAATTAACCCAACCAGGATGGCTGCAACCACAAAGAGAGCAGGAGGCTTGGGTTTCCCTGGCAATGGAGGAAGCCAACCTTTCCGTCTGCCCTGGCTGGCCCAGGCCTCTGCTTAAAGCTACAAAGTTTCAATTATAGAAGATAAATAAATCCCAAGGAAAATGGCAGTGGCCACAGAGCAAGCAGGAGGCTTGGCTCCACTCAAGGCTACAAAGTTTTAATTATAGAAGATAAATCCCAGATACCAGGGCCTCCTCTTGAGTTGCCAGGGGGCATAGCTGGCCTGCAAACCACCATAGACCCCTCACCCAGGCCACTCCATGCCCCAAGGGAACCCCACCCTGACCCAGGATAACCTTCAGGGCAAACCAGCTGGCCTCCACCCATACACCAGACCTCTATCCTATCTAATAAAAGAGTAATATGCAAATCGACCATCACTCCAACACAAGATGGCTGCCCCCATGTGGAAACAAGATGGCCACCACAAGATGGCTAGCAGGGGAGGGCAGTTGGAGGGACCAGGTCTGCAAGGGAGGGCAGTTGTGGGTGATTAGGCCAGCAGGGGAGGGCAGTTGGGAGGGACCAACTGCAAGAGAGGGAAGTTGGGGGTGATCAAGCCTGCCGGGAAGGGCAGTTAGTGGTGGCCAGGCCTTCAAGGGAGGTTAGTTAGGGGTGACCAGGCTGGCAGGGGAGTGGTTAGGGGTGATCAGGCTGGCAGGCAGAATTGATTAGGGGCAATTAGGAAGACAGGCAGGTGAACATTTGAGAAGGATGCGAGAAGGATGTCTGACTGTCTGTTTAGGCCCAATCCAGGTAGGATCGGGCTTACCCAGGCAGTTGGACATCCCTCGAGGGGTCCCAGATTGAAGAGGGTGCAGGCGGGGCTGAGGGACACACACACACCCGTGCATGAATTTCATGTACCAGGCCTCTAGTTTAGTATAAACTGGAAAAGAGCACGATTGTCATGGGTTTGGGTTAGTATGGGGTAAGGTTTAATTCTTTATGAGGAATAGAGATTAGAGAGCATTCCCTTCTAATTAAGAAAGCCCAGTTTGAGAGACTGGCAGCTAATCTCTCCTCACTGCTGTGCCCTCAATTTCATGTGATAAGCAGCAATGGTTCTGTCTGTCCCTCACAGTCTGACGGAAACAATCGAATGCCTGCAAGCCAACATCGATCACCTCCAGAGCCAAGTGAAGGAGCTGAAGTCATCTGGCCAAGGGAGGAGGAGCCAGGGGAAGCACGGCCAAACGTCGGCCTCCAGCTTCGCGGGGCTGAAGGAGCTGTATGACCTACGCCAGTAAGAGCCGGCCCTCCACGGCGCATATGGCGAGCCTCTCAACACAGATGCCGTCTGCATTCCTATAGATTCAACATATATTTAAGAAACATCATGTGGCTGTTAGCCCACCAGTGGTTTGAACAAAACCACTAATTGCAAATTATAGAGTTCTTGGGTATTAGCAATTTCATGGAAATTCATTTTCTAAAGTCTTGGGAGCATTATTTCCATGCTATTAATGTGTTAAATCTTAGTTTAAAATAATGCAGTACTTCTGATAGACTACAAATTTGGGGTTATATTTTACATTAGAGTGTAGGAGAAAATTGAAACTTAAGTAAAACAAATCCCCCTAAAGAAATGCCTTTATAATTTAGTTATAAGATTGAATTTTTACTTAAAACTATTTACTGAGTACCTGCTGTGTCAGGGGCTACTAGACATGAAGAGTGGCAAGTAAAATAGACACAGTTCCTGCCCTCTTTCAAGGAGTTTTCCATTCCACGAAGGCAGATGAACAGTTTTCACACAGATAAATACAGTTACAAGTTGCCAAGGATCCTGAACAGGGAGAGAGGCCAGCTCCGTGTTTGGTGTTCTCACCCTTGGCTTGGTTCATCAGATGATCTGCTGAGTTTTTCCAACTGCAATACAAGTGATTCTCTTAGGCCTAAATCAGAACCCCTGGGTGTGGGTAAAAGCTGCCAGGTGATTCTGATGTGCACTCCTGGTTAAAAACCACTGCAGCAGTGGCTGCATATTATGTACCACATGGAGAACTTGGAAAAAAGCCAAGTCCGGGCAGCAGACCATTTAGGTCAGAATTGGGGGGTAGCACCCAGGCAGCAATAATTTTTTTTTTAATATATTTTATTGATTTTTCACAGAGAGGAATTGAGAGGGACAGAGAGTTAGAAACTTCGATGAGAGAGAAACATCGACCAGCTGCCTCTTGCACACCCCCACTGGGGATGTGCCCATAACCAAGGTACATGTCCTTGACTGGAATCGAACCCGGGACCTTTCAGTCGGCAGACCGACGCTCTATCCACTGAGCCAAACCAGTCCCGGCAACGGCATCAATAATTTTTAAGACTACCCCAGAGAGTCGAATCTTTCCAAGGCCAAGGAACACTGGCCATTCTGGTTCCCTTGAAAGCTAATAGACTACTGGTCTTTGGGAATGGGTGTTCTGGACACTTTTCATGTTTAAAAAGTTAGTCTCAAAACAAATTTTCAAATATGTTTTATTTGCCCACTTCACACAATTTCTTTTTAGCCACTGCTCTAATGAGGAATGGGCAAAAATTCAGTCCCTGCATTCTGATAGACTACAAATTTTGGGGTTATATTTTACATTAGAGTGAAGAAAAATATTGAAACTTCAGTAAAACAGAAATCCCAGTCAAGTTTTTGTGCCTAAAAAAATGTCTTGACAAAATATTTAGCTGACAAAAGTCATTACACTTCCTCTCACCATTCTCAGTCAACTTGGTTAATATATTCTCTCCATATTTTCCCTAGACACTTTGTGTATGACCATGTGTTTGCAGAAAAGATCACTTCCTTGCCAAGTCAGCCAAGCCCCGACGAAGAAGAAAACAGGCATTTGAAGAAGGCCGTGAGGACGCTGCAGGCGCAGCTGAGCCTGGAGCGGCAGAGGCGCGTGGCCTTGGAGGAGGAGTGCGGGCTTGTGCTGAAGGAGAACAGGGAGCTGGAGCAGCAGCTGGAGGCCACTGACGCCTACCGGGCCCGGGCGCTGCAGCTGGAGGCGGAGGTGACTGAAATGCGGCAGGTGCTGCAGTCGGAGCGTCCCTTCAGGAATGGGGTTGAAAAGCTGGTGCCCGACTCCCTACTTGTCCCTTTCAAAGAGCCTGGCCAGAGCCTGCTGGAGGAGATGCTGATGACGGTGCCCGAGGCCCAGCGGCGGCCCCTCAAGCGCAGCAGCAGTGAGACAGTGCTCAGTAGCTTGGCCGGTGGTGACATCGTGAAGGGCCATGAGGAGACCTGCATCCGGAGGGCCAAAGCTGTGAAGCAGAGGGGTGTGTCCCTGCTGCAGGAAGTGGACACACAGTACAGTGCCCTGAAGGCCAAGTACGAGGAGCTGCTGAAGAAGTGCCAGCAGCAGGAGGGGGACTCGCTGTCCCACAAGGCTGTGCAGACTGCCAGGGCTCCAGCCAGGGACCCAGCTGCCAGGGACCCACTTGCCACTGGTGCCTCTGAGCCTGCTGGCTCCCCCACCAGCACACCACCTCCTGAATATAAAGCGCTCTTTAAGGAGATCTTCAGCTGCATCCAAAAGACGAAGCAGGAGATTGATGAGCAGAGAATGAAATATCGTTCTCTCCCCTCCCCTTAATGGGCCCTCCAGCTCCCCTGCTCATTTCCTATCTCCCATCAACCCTCTCCCACTCAGACATGTGTTGGTAGACCCCAAAGCCTGAAGCTGCTCACTACTTTGCTTACTCAGCAAGTGTGTATATACAGTAAGGAAAGAGGACGGCTCCTGATATCAGTTTCCTAACCCTGTTCCCTTTAAACCCTTCCTAACCCTGTTCCCTTTAAACCCTTCAGTAAGGCCCTCCCTTGACAACTGGCCTCTGGCTGGCGCTGACTAGGCTGCCGTTCTTGAGAAGCCCTAGAAACAGTGGGGCAGAGCTGTGCTCCTGGAGAGGTAGGCCTGGAGCTTCCATAGGATGTACTGATAGACAGTGCCTGCTACACTGGAAGGGCCGTGGGAACTAAGCTAAGGCGGTCTCTGCTGCCTCCTGGCTGAACTTCTCAAAAATGTGGAAGTCAGCCTCCAACCTGAACCGTTCCCGAGCACTGTTGGACACTGTGAATTCAGAAGACCAGGAGAAAGTAGGGGCCTAATCCAAAGAAACAGTATTAACAAGTCCTCCACGCCTTTGGGTTTTCTTTGCTGCCAGTCGAACTGTGGCAGGTAATCCTAACAGATCTAAAGCACTGAGCACCCTGCAGCAAGGCGAGCTCTGCTTGACCCAAGTTTGCCTGTCAGCCTGCGCTCAAGGCCTCCGCCCCACATCCAGGTGTGTTCACGCGAAGCACAGTGTTAGGGTAGCCGAGCACACCTCTTTCCTTCCTAAATTCCAACAAAGGGGACAAACCCCTCCTGTGCTGTCTGAGCTGCTGACCTGCTCAATGCCTGTGGTCCTGTCATTGGTTGGGCTTGGCTGCAGGAACCCCGTCTGCTGCTTTACTGAACAGTGTTGGCATCATTGTAACTGTGGAAATGGATGACTCCTCGCACTTGCATACTTTAATTTAAAACTATTTAAGGGAACTAAAGTTCTAGTAATTGTATATATTTTTCTAAAAACCAAATAAAACTACCTATGAAAATGAACAAATGGGTCTATTGCTTATTAATTTAAGCTTAAGCCATTTCACTATTGTAACCAACTGTTCACTCTTTTTTTCTTCCAACAAACACCATTAGGAAATTTGATAATTTTTAAATTATTTTTATACAGGAAGAGAGAGAGAGAGAGAGAGAGAGAGAGAGAGAGAGAGAGAGAGAGAGAGAGAGAAAGAAACATCTGTGAGTTGGCTTCCTACACATCCCCTACTGGGCATGTGCCCTAGCTGGGAATCAAGCCAGCAACCCCTTGGTGCATGGGCCAATGCCCAACCAACTGAACCACTCAGATCAAGGCTTGATAGTGATTCCCCTCCACACCCCATTTCCATTACACAAGTCCTTGGGATTATGTAATAACATTAGTTCTGCTCAGACTGACAAGTGTTGGTTAAAATTACTATATGATTGAAACACATTTTCACACTATATACTCTATAATTTTTCACTATTTTAGGAGTATCAGACTGGGTGCTAAATTAATAGCACTTGTCCAGTTGATTCTCAAAACATTTTCTCATTCATTTATGGGAAAGAAACATTATAATATTCAAACTTTAAATGAGCATTGACTTCATAAATTTTACTTTTGAATTGTTTGAGTTTAAAGAGCTTGTAAACTTAGTTATCTTGTCTTCCCTGATCTCCCAACCCATCCCCGCCCCAGAACCAACTATACAAATTAGGTTTTTTGTGTAGATTTCCAAAATATTCTATGTATATATTACTACATGAATCCCATTTAATAAAAGGATAATATGCAAATTAACCATCACTCTGTCACAAAGTCCTCAGGGTCGGGACTACCCTCTGAGAGCGGGTAGTGTGAGCAGCCTGATGGAATGCTTACTTTGTCCACCCCAGCTGCAGAGGGCCTCTGGGCAGCGGGCACGGAGCAGCCGGGGTAGGGTGGTGGGAACGCTTGAGACATTGCCCTGGTGACAAGGCAAGTGTTCTGTACCTAGCCACAGATGGGCCTCTGGCCAGGCTGGGGCACGGATACACTTCATTTCAGTTAGTGTAGCCTTCATTTCTGATTGGACCTTTTTATGTCTTTGAAATTCTCACTAAGGTATTTAAAAGTCTCAGTCCCTTGAAGCTCTCACTGCAAGAGCCTCTGGGCAGTGGAGTGGCCAAGCCCCACAGAGAGCTATTGGCGCACGGATTCCTGTGCAGGGCTACTAGTATGTTTATATGACTCATTTTTAAACAAGTATACTATAAGCACTCTTCTGCATCTTCCATTTTTACTGAACCATGAATCTTTGAAATCATCCTTATCTGACTACATGGTTTAGGAGCATGTGAACATTGAGCAGGCCATCTGCTCATGCTTTTGTGCCTGACGAACATCATCTGTCCCTCACTCTTGATTGAAAGAGCTTAGGCTTACTGACTACATTATTATTATTTTTTTATATTTTTTTTCATTGATTTCAGAGAGGGAGAGAGAGGAACATCAATGATGAGAGAGAATCATTGATTGGCTGCCTCCTGCATGCCCCCTACTGGGGATTTTTTTTTCACACACCCAGGCATGTGCCCCTGACTGTAATCAAACCCAGAATCCTTCAGTCCACAGGCCGATGCTCTGTCCACTGAGCCAAACCAGCTAGGGCTGTGGTAGCTGTATAGTATTCCAGTTAATGGATACATATGTCTGTAAATATATGTGTGTGTACATATATATGTATAAGTTAATTTAAATGCTACCTCCTGCACACCCCCTCATTGGGAATCAAGCCCACAACCCTGGGCATGTGCCCCAACCAGGAATTGAACTGATGACATTTCAGAGCATGGGGTGATGGTCAATGGAACCACACTAGCCAGGGTTTTGCCCATTTTTTAATCAGGTGGTTTCTTATTGAATTTTAATTCTCCGTATAGCTTCCTGGAGGACAAGGGACCTTCTTGCTGCCATCCAGTCCAGAACACAGGAAAGTGAGGATTTTGCATCCACTTGAGAACCTCGTCCTCCTTAACGGCCCCATGGCCTTTTCCATACAACCACTGTCACCTGCTGACCAGGCCTCAACCCATTCATCACTTGACATATTACAGCTGATGATCTGCCCCCACCCCATGTTGACTGAACCACCTTCAGCTGTCTGCCTGGCCCACTCCCTTATTCCAGAAACTCCGCCCCCTCATTCAATGGACCAATGAGCCAGCAGCACTGCCCTGCTCCTCACATAACGAGGGCCTACTGCCCCACCTCTGGAATAGTTGTTCTGTGCCTAAAAGCCCCAACTGCAGATGGCCTTCTGCTGACAGGTTGCCTCCGTCCCATGGCCAAGGCCCACAAGCATGAGGAGACCAGCCCCCCTTTTCGGACAGCCAGAGGCCTCCATGAGCCCCGGGAACCACCATCCCTCCCACCACAGGGTTTCTCACAATGGAGTGCGACCCCCACAGCCCTGTCTATGGGCTTTGACATCAGGGAGGGAGCTCTGTCAAGTCCCCAAAAGTCACTTTCCAATATGGGGGCGCTGACCCACCCTCCTGAGGTCCTTACTGGTTCCCAGGCACTGAGGGACGGCTTTCTGCCCCATTCAGGGAAAACGCCCTTCCTTGAGGACAAGGGACCTTTTTGCTGGCATCCAGTTTGGACAACAAGAACTTGGGGATTTTGAGGCCACCCAGGACCCCCGTACTCCTTCACAAAGCCACATAGACGTATCCACTGGACCACTTCCAGATGTTGCCCAACCAATTCTTGGCTTGGCTGCTTCTGGCTAACACCTAGTCTACCTCCAAAAGCCCCCAACACCATTGTCCAGGTGGCTGCTGCCAAGCAGGAAGGCCTAACTGCCTGCAGACTTTACCCCTGTCCCTGCCCAGCAACCTTTCTCCTGCTTATATCACAATTGCCAGGTCTACACCTGACCGACCTCTTATTGAAATGACTGACTTCAGTGCTTAACCTGGAGCCTACTGCTCATTGACTTAAACACTTTCCTCTCAGCCTGGCCCCCACACTTTTCCAGAAACCACGCCCCTAGTTCATTGGACCAATGAGCGAGCAGCACTGGCCAGGCTGCCCTGCCCCTCACAAGGGGGACCAGGGCCCCACCTCTGGGAGTGTTTTTCCACTGTTTAAAAGCCCCAAGGGCAGATGGACTTCTGCTCACTGGTTGTCTCCCACCCAGGGCCCAGGTCACCGAGGCCTCCACAAGAGGCATATCGCACGGAGTGTCCTGAAACACCACCGGCCCTATGTATGAGCGTTGAAAACGGGCAGACAGCTGTGCCAAGTCCCAGAAAATCACTTTCCACCTTGGGAGTACTGACCCGCACCTCCTGAGGTACCCTGTTTTCATGAAAATTAGACATTGTCTTATATTAAAATTTGCTCCCAAAGATGCGCTAGGTTTTATGTTTGGGGTTGTCTTATTTTTCCATGAAGAAGAATACAGTACACATTTACTGTTAAACAAAAATAAATGAAATTTATTACCTACATATGGTACGGTTGTATGGTAGTTGTCAACAGAAACCAGACAAAGTGTGAATCCTACACTATCAAGAATTTACTCATTTATTCATTGACAGTCATGTCAACCAACGTCTTCGGGAAAATCAAAATAACAATCCAATTCCTGAATTTCCTGGTGAGTTTCTTGTGACTCCATTTCTTGCAGAATCAGTGAACCAAAACTCTCACGTGTAGCCTGGGGGCGGGGGCGGGGGCTTATTTTTGGATGATGCCTTATATTTCACTCAGAAGGAAACCTGTAAGCAGGTTTTGTTTTCAGAAGATGTCTTATTTTCGGTAAAAGAAGGTACTTACTGGTGGATGGGCCCTCAGGGCCAGATTTCTGCCCCTTCCACGAGGTTGGGTTAGCCCTTCCTTGAGGACAAGGGACGTACTTGCTGGCATCCAGTCTGGACCAATGGAAGATGGGGCTTTTGAGGCCACTGGGGACCCCCATCCTCATTCACAGGGCCCCATGGCCTTATCCACTGGACCACTTTGG